CCTGTGGCCCCTGCTGTCCTGCAGAACCCCTCCCCAGACTGAGTGGGTGACCTTGGCAGCCAGATGAAATCCCAGTGCCCAGTGGCCGCCCAGAGGGGCCCTAATTTATTTATTTATTGCCAGCCCGTGTACTCTGGGGATGGCCCGGCCAGCTGCCTGCTCCTGCTCTCCCCTCGGAGGCGGTGTGGGGCTGTGGGGCCTGGGGCTGCTGCAGGAATGTGGTCTGTGCCCTACCCCGCCTCAGTTTGCACCTGGGTAGCCGGCAGTTCCCACGGAGCTGTTGCTGGGTAAATGCTATTTTAAACACTAAAGGCCTTTAATTTTATGGACTGACTGTGGCTGTGTTCCTTCTCTGTCCCAGTGCTGTCAGCAGCTGTGGGGTCCTGGTGCCTGGTGTTCTGTCCGAGGTGCTGGCTCCGGGGTCCCAGTTGCCGCTGGCCTTGGTGCTGACGCACAGGGCTCTATCCACAGGGCTGCTGGCAGGAGTAGCTCCATTTGGCCTGCTTGGGCTGGGGCAGGAGGACAAGCTGACCTCTGCCACAAGTACTCGCCCACCACCCTCCCCTTCCTGCTGGCTGGACAGGGTGCTGGGCAGGCTGGGGCTGATGTGGCCCCATGAGGGCTGTCCAGTTGCACCTTCTACTTGTAAGGCCTGGCCCTGTCATGCCCAGTGCATTCGGCAAGGACAGAGGCAGAACCTGAGAGGTCGCTGTGGGGTCGTCAGAAGCAGCATGGGGTCACAGCAGAGCCTGTGGGGGTTGCTATGGGGTCACGGGCGGAGCCTGGGGGCAGCATGAGGTCAGATTTTCGAGCTGGAGGGTCACAGGGGCAGTGGGGCTGCTGCTGGGGTAGAGGGGCTCCTGCCTCAGGGTCACCCGTTTGTCCCTGGGCCGCCTTGCGCAGCCCCAGTGGCCTCTCCCAGGAAGAACTCTGGGGTGTTGAGGTCCGGCTGCCACAGGAGCAGGTAGCACTTGGGCAGGTGGAAGGCAGCCAGGATGCCCAGGGCACACACCAGGATGGCACCCATCTGTACAGCGGGCTGGTAGGCCACCTGCACGTTGGCCAGGAGGGGCACATAGGAGACCCAGGTGATAAAGTAGGCCAGCATGGCGAAGGTGAGGCCGCGGGCGCGGTTGTAGCGGCCGGGCTGGCTCTGCACCAGGAAGGTGCCCAGGAAGCAGAGGAAGGCCAGGGCGGCGTTGGGAGCGTGCAGCAGCGCGAGGCCGGCCCAGGAACGCAGGCGGCAGTGCACCAGAACCTCCGTGGGCAGCACCTGCCAGTCCATCACCACCTCGGGGGGGAAGGCCACCAGGTACCAAGTGCACATGGCCGCCTCCACCAGGACGGCCAGCAGCACGGCCAGCCAGGCCCGGGGCCCCCGCAGGAAGGCCCGCAGCTGGGTGGCCCAGGCAGGTGGCAGCTCTGACTCCACGAAGGTGTCGGCTGCCTGCAGCAAGAGGGAGCTGAGACAGCCGGCGAGCAGCAGGTGCGCAAGAGGCTGTTGGGCCAGGCAGCTGGCGGGCTGGGGCCAGCCAGGGAACAGCAGGACTGTGAGGCAGAGCAGGGCCAGGCAGGCCAGGCCGAAGCAGGCCAGCTGCCCTCCAGACGCTTGGACCAGAGGGCTGCGCCGGTGGTAGAGGAAGAGCCTGAGGGCGCCCAGCGCCAGGCCCAGCGCCAGGCCCATCAGCAGCAGCAGTAGCAGCAGTGCGGGCTCTCCCCACGCCAGAAACCTGGGCCTGCGTGGGTAGCAGCGCGTGCTGCGGTCTGGGGACCAGTGGTCATGGGCGCACGGGGTGCACGTGGGATCGTCTGCGGGGAGGGAGGAAAGAGGGTGCTGAGCAGTGCCACCGGGGCCCTTGGCCTGGCCTCGGGGTCGTCCCAGGGCTACCAGCTCACCTGGGTTGTGCCGGTAGGTGCCAGCCTTGCAGTCAGCACAGTCATAGCAGCAGGAGTGGAAGCCCTTGACCCGGCGCACCTGACCCTCTCGGCACTGCCGGGAGCACTGGGACTCGGGTACCTGCCAACGTGGCCAGTTCAGGCCCTGCACGGTGCCCGGGCGCCACCCTGACCCCTTGGGGCTCCCAGGCCGCCCTCACCCGGTTGTCAGGCGTGTGCCAGCTCATCTGGGCGCGGTTTAGGGAGAGCCGCCCATCGAAAGTGCCCACAGTGTGGAACTCGGGCCTGGGGCCCCGCCACAGCCACAGCTTCAGGTCGTACTGCATGCTCACGCTGCCCGAAGCGTCGAAGTGCAGGCCCAGCTCGGCTGCTCGGAAGCTCAAGTTGGACATGTGCTGCAGGAGCTGTGGGGACGTGGCCGCGAGTGGAGACGGGGCCTAGGCGGGCGGGGCCAGATGCGGGGCGGAGCCTGGGAGGCGGGGGCGGGGCCTAGGCGGGAGGGGCGGGGCATGGGCGGGGTAGGGCAGGTTCCCCCACCCCCCATCGCGGGCCGCACAGGCGCAGTGGGTCCCACCGCCACGCCACTCTCACCTGCCAGGGCCGCACGCGCTCCCGCGCCGGGCACCCAGACGCATTGCAGCGCAGCGTGTGGTGCAGGGCCTGGGCTACGCTGTGCACTGCGGCGTAGGTGGCGAAGATCTGGTGGTGCAGCTGCCCAGCTGCCAAGTTCTGCAGTAGCCAGGCGGACAGATTCTGCGGGGAGAGGCGGTCACAGTGCGGGCAGCGCGGCCCCACCGCGTGCTCCTCCAGACCTGGCTGCTCCGTGTCCAGCGAGGTGCAGAAGGTGGGGTTGGCAGCCAGGGCCAGGCGGGTCTGCACATACCCAGGGAACTGGTGCAGTGGGGCCCCCCGCTGCAGGAAGCCCAGCACCGTGCCCATCTGAGCCATGCCTGGCAGTGTCATGACCAGGTCTGAGGTCAGCCAGGCCTCACTGGCCACCCACACCTTTGGCAGGAGTTTGGAGTAGATGCAGTGGCGGAAGAGGGCCTGGGCAGCCTGCGCCGAGGCAAAGACCACCACCACCTGCACGCTGCTGCGGTTCACCTGGCGCAGCAGGTCCTTGAGCTGCTCCTGCCGCAGGCTGTCAGCAGAGGACAGCGGCGCCAGGCCCTCATGCGCGATGCACACGTTCTTGCTGCTGGCCAAGTTCGAGAAGATGTTCAGGCCCTGCCGGCCATATTCATCGTCGCTGCCCACGGCAGCCACCCAGTTCCAGCCCAGCTCCAGCAGCAGCTCCACGGTGGCCGCCAGCTGCACACGGTCGCTGGGCACCGTGCGGAAGAAGGACTGGAAAGTGTCACGGTTGCTCAGCTGCTCCATGCTGGCACCAAAGCTGACCTGAGGGGCAGGGCACGCTGGACACATCTGTGTGTTGGGAGGGGGCGGGGAGCAGGCCAGGCCAGCGGGCAGTGGGGAGGGTGCCTCGTGTGTGTGGTGGGGTAGGGAGGGAGCTATGGGGGGGTAGTTGTGCTGGCAGCAGGGGCGTCCTGGGTCAGCAGGCAGCCAGGGGAAGGCCGGGCCAGGGGGCAGCGGGGTGTTCTGGGCTGGGCCAGGCCGGTGGGCAGTGGGGGGTGCTGGGCCAGGCCGGTGGGCAGCAGGGGCCCACCTGGGGCATGAGGAAGAAGCTGAAGAACTTGCCGGTGATGAGAGCCAGCTCGGACGAGTGGGGCCCGATGACGGCCAGCACGCGGGGCTGGTACTGGGAGTAGTCGCAGTAGGCAGCGATGTCCTGGCTGCCAGCCTCAGCCAGGAACATGAGGCTGGGCTTCATGGTGGCCATGGGGTCCGAGCATGTGTCAAACAGGTCATAGCCCAGGCGCGGCCCGGGAAGCAGGTCTGACCTGTTGTTGACCTCCTCCACGGCCATCTGCAGGGCCAGGGCCAGGGCCAGGCCGAGGGGCGAGAACCTGCGGCCATGTGGGGAGGGGGAGGTTGTTGGCTGCCACTGTGGCCCTGACCGCCCCCAGCCCTGCGGGCCGCTCCCGCCGCCTGACCTGGAACATGTGGTGCTGTAGGGCCGGGTTCGGCTGCCCAGGCTGGCCTCTTCAGGCAAGCCCAGTGGGAAGAGCCCGCCTAGGATGTAGTCCCCGTGCATCTTGAGCTGCCGGGAGAGGCACAGTGGGGCCCCTGTCCTCGGGCCCAGAAGTACCACGAGGCCGAGGCCCAGGAGAGCCCGGCCGGGCATGGCAGCTGCAGTGCTGGCAGATGTGCGAGTGCTGGGTGTGCCAGGGCCTCAGGTGTGGCCAGTCTGGGGGAGGGCCCTAGATTTGTTTAGCAAAACCCTTGCTGTCCTTACTGGACAGTCCCCAGGTGCCTCCACTAGGCCCGCCAGGGCTTCGGGTGGCCCTGGACCTGCTTCCCTGCCCCTGCCCCCTCAGCACCCCCACCCCCATGCAGCCGGCCAGCCAAGAGGAGAAACCAGTCAGACCGAGGCCCTGAGGCCCTGGGACCTGCCCTCTGTAGCCGCAGGTGGCGCCTGCCTGGGGTGAGGTAGAAGTGGGGCCCGGTCAGGAGCGTGTGGCCTCTGAAGGGTCTAGGGGCCTGACCCCAGCCTGCACCCCCAGCTCCCTCTGGGGACAGAGCTGGCCAGGAAGGGGGACATGCAAACACGGAGGAAATGCCTAAACAAATCAGCAGCAAGGCTGTGCCTGCACGGTAGGGGCTGCCCCGTGCCTCTGCTTGACTCTCGTCCCAGCTCTGGGAGCCCTGGGGCTGCCAAGCCCAGGCCCTGTGGGGAACCCATGTGTGTCAACACAGCTTTACCCCAGGCCCATCGGCCCTTTAGCCACCTTTGTGGAAACCACATGGGGGACCTGGGAGTCTGTGCCCAGACCACCGCCAAAGCACATCACTGGCCCCACCTGGATGGGTTGTGAATCCTGGGCGAGCCCTTGCACCTGTCTCCCTGCCTGTGAAGTAGCAGAAAGTCATTGGGACCCAGCCCTCCCCCTGCCCCACCCCTCAGCCTCAGCTCAGTTGATTGTGTCCCTCCCAGCCTTGTTGAGCACCTGGCCTACTCCCAGACTCCTGTTTCGGATGCCACACCTGGTCCCATGAACGTGCTTTATTGATGTCGCAATGTGCTACACATGTTGGCTCCCAGGAGCCCCGTGCCCCAGGTGCTCGCCTGGGTGGGTCTGCTGTCCTATGAGTGGAGTCCCAGAGGTTTGTCTGCAGCCTGGAGCAGCAGCGGATGGTGGAACTAGGTCAGGCAGGGGCCCTGTTTCACTGCCACGGCTGCCATGCCCCAGAGCTGGGCAACTGGAACAGGGGGAGGTCCAGGCTCTGGGGCCCTGCTGTGCATGCCAATGGCAGCTGCCTAGAGTCTGCAGCCAAAGCTAGCATGTCCCCTGGGAGTAGATGTTGCTCAGGGGCCGGTCAAGTTGTCCCAAGGCGTTCCTAGGACCTCCAGGGAAGGGGTCCACAGGGGCCACTCGAATTCTGAGTATGAGGTTGGCTGACAAGGTGAGAGGGTGTGAAGCCAGATGCTCCACCCACAGCACTGCTGGCCCCACCCACATAGCCAGGTGTTCCACCCAGAGCACTGCTGGCCCTGCCCACATAGCCAGGTGCTCCACCCTGGCTAGGCCAAGCCAGGTCAGCTGTCAAGACTGGAGGGGCAGCCCAGAAAGGACACACATAGGTAGGCCAGGCCTGGGGCCTCCAGCTGTTCGACAGCCAGCAGGCACCATCCTTGGGCAGCTCACAGGCCTCGCTGACACACAGCGTGGGCAACCAGCTGCCCATCTCCTCTGTTCCTGGAAGCTTGGCTCATGGAGGCTGTGGCAGACACCCTCTTAGGGACCCAGAAAACTCCGTTGAAGGCTTGTGGGTCCAGCTCCCCATGGGTGTGGGAACTGGGAGCCCCTGGGCTTAAGGCAGGTTCAGCAGGGAGTGCTGGGCGTAGAGCTTCTGGGAGACCTCGTACACCTGCTCGATGTAGGGCAGGGCTTCGCCCAGCATCTCCACAGCCTGTTCAGGGGTTCCCACATTCATGGCCTCCAAGAAGGCTTTGCGCGTGGGCAGCGTGCAGAAGGCCACAGTGACAGCCCGACGCACAATCCAAGGGTGGTAGGCGGCCAGAGAGGCATTGTAGGAGTCGGTGCAGAGCACTGAGGGGCGGGCATCCTCAGCGCTGGTGCGCAGGCCTTCCAGGAAGAGCTGCAGCCAGCGCAGGGCACGGTGTAGCCGCAGCACCGTGCGGCAGCCCGAATCAGGGTGGCGGGAGCGCCTGTCCACGTCCACCAGCTGGTTCCCCGTCTCGTAAGCCATCATGGACTGTAGGCTGGCGTACTGCTCTCCCTGGGGGCCAGACCGCAGCCGCTCCATGATGTGCAGCTTGGAGACTACGTCCTTGGAGATGAAGGAGAAGACGGCACCCAGGCTATTCAGAAACCTGCAGGGGACAGCAGCGCTGTGGGCGGAGCACCTGGCTATGTGGGTGGGGCCAGCAGCGCCGTGGGCGGAGCGCCTGACCATGTGGGCGTGGACAGATCTGTGGGCGGGGCCGGCAGCGCCGTGGGCGGAGCGCCTGGCCATTTGGGCGGGCCAGCAGCACTGTGGGCGGAACACCTAGCTATGTGGGCGGGACCAGCAGCGCCGTGGGCGGAGCGCCTGACCATGTGGGCGTGGACAGATCTGTGGGTGGGGCCGGCAGCGCCGTGGGCGGAGCGCCTGGCTATGTGGGCGGGGCAGGCAGCGCTGTGGGCGGGGCCAGTGACTCCCCTCCCCAAGAGGTGACCCTCTGGGCTGGGCTTTGGCTGCAAGGCCGCCCAGGGCAGCAGCACGCACCTGACCAGCCCCTTCCAGCTGTCGAGGTAGTGGTCCAGCAGCACTTCCTCCTTCTCATTGAGACACTGCTTGAAACTGACCAGCACCATCTTCAGGTTGAAGTCAACCCCGGGCTCCTCCATGTTCAGACCGCTCTGAGGCACAGGGTGAGCAGGACGCAGCTCATCACCTGTTCCCGGGGCCTCCCGGCTGTGCCCCCTGTCCGGCTGTGCCCTTGGCCCGGCTGTGCCCTCTGTCCAGCTGTGCCCTTGGCCCGGCTGTGCCCCCTGTCCAGCTGTGCCCGCTGCCCAGCTGTGCCCTCTGTCCCGCTGTGCCCGCTGTCCGGCTGTGCCCCCTGCCTGGCTGTGCCCCTGTCCGGCCGTGCCCTCGGCCTGGCTGTGCCCTCGGCCCGGCTGTGCCCCTGCCCGGCTGTGCCCCCTGTCCGGCTGTGCCCCCTGTCCGGCTGTGCCCCCTGCCCGGCTGTGCCCGCTGCCCGGCTGTGCCCCCTGCCCGGCTGTGCCCTCGGCCCTGGTGTCTTAGCCGTCCTGGGCAGCCCCGACCTGGACCGCCCCTGGGCAGCAGGTAGCAAGTCCTGAGGGGCAGGAGGGGCCTCCCCGGTGCAGCCCCTCGGCCTGCATGTCGCCCGCCGCTGCCCGGCCTTGCGTCTCCGGCTCGCATGCAGCAGGCCCGGCTGCACCCCACCCTGGGCCTGTCCACCCCGCTCACATCGCGCCCGCCTCTTGGGCCAAGCGCCTGGCCCCGGGCGGTCCGAGCGGGGAGCTCAGCTGCTCAGGCCGAGGCGCCGGACGGCTCGGCCCGGGCGGGGCGGGGGTCCGCGCAGGGGACGACCCCGCCAGGCTTACCGGGGCTGCTCCGGGAAGTGTCCGCTTCAGCTAGGGGACGGGGCGGGCTAGAGGCGCGGGCGGCGCTGAGCTTGAGGCTGACGTGAGCGGCGGGCGTCTTCGGCCACAGCCCGGCGTTCGGTTGAGTCGCCGCCGCCGACGCCATGGGCCGGAGCTGCTCACCCGGCCCCTCTCCGCTCCGCCCCCGGACCCGGAGCCCCGCCCCGCCGGCGCGATTGGCAGTCGACCGTCCAATGAGATGGTCCCCTCTCTGCTGCGTCCAGACTCGGAGCCTCGCCCCGCCGGCGCGATTGGCAACATGTCGCCCAATCACCTGATCCTGTCCTCTCCGTTCCGCCCCGGAGCACCGCCCCCGGTGCGATTGGCAGCCGACCGTCCAATGAGCTGGCCCCCTCTCTGCTGCGCCCGGACCCGGAGCCCCGCCCCCTCCGGCGCACGTTTCCTGCGACGGGACCCGAGAGAGGCCCGCAGCACTTGCGCAGTGCGAGGCGGCAGGGTCGCCGTGGCCCCGCCCCTCGCCGGTCCCGGGCGCGTGAGGCCGCGGCGCGGGAGCCATGCCCGAGATCAGGGTCACCCCCTTGGGTAAGCGGGCGGCCCGGGTGCGGGGCAGGACGGCAGTCCGCAGCAGGCCAGGTGGGGCCGCCGTGCAGCCGCGGCCCTCACCCGCGCTCTCCCCGAGCAGGAGCCGGCCAGGACGTGGGCCGCAGCTGCATCCTGGTGTCCATCGGGGGCAAGAACGTGATGCTGGACTGCGGGATGCACATGGGTTTCAACGACGACGTGAGCGCCGCGCTGGGGGGCCCTGCTGACGGGCGGGGTGCTGGGCCCTGGACCCCGCCGCCCGCCCGTGCCCACCGCCCGTGTCCGTGTCCCCGCAGCGGCGCTTTCCCGACTTCTCCTACATCACGCAGAACGGCCGACTGACGGACTTCTTGGACTGCGTCATCATCAGGTGGGTGCTGAGGGGTCACCCCAGGGCGCCGGGGACTCTGGGGGGTGTCCTCCTTGTTGCACGGCAGAGCAAGAGAGCAGGACAGAGAGAGGAGCAGAGAGAGGGAAAAAGACAGAGAGAGGAAGAGACAGGGAGAGAGACAGGAAGAGAGAGAGAGAGACTGGGAGACAGAGAGAGGAAGAGGGAAAGACAGAGGGAGACAGGTATTTCTTCTGCCCATCTGTGTGGCAACCCTGGCCAGGCCTGGTCCCGACGCAGGCCAGCAGCCAGCAGCTCCTTCCAGGGTTCCCTGGTGGCGGCAGTGTCCCAAGCCGGGGGCGTCCACTGCTGCCCCAGGTGCCGTAACAGGAGGAAGGGCATCTGGATAGCTACTGCGTGGAGCCTCTGCGCCAGGGCCTGTCCCCAGTGACCACTCTCCCCTGGCCTCCCAGCAAACTGCATGAGGCAGCCTGGTACTGGTGTCCCTTAGCGGGGAATAACCTTCCTCTTCCTGCCCTCATCACCCCATCACCTCCCTGTGTCACCATCCCCCTCACCTCCGTCTCCCTCATTGCTTCCCCGTCCCCTCACTGCTGGCTCTGGGACTCCCCACTGGAGGCCCCTGCCTTCCCTGCAGTCCCTCTGGTTTGGGGTTCCTCCTGGCCAGGGGCCACAGGCCGCGCCCAGCTGCCTGGCCTTCCCCTTGTCCCTACTCCACCTCGCCCTAGCAGGTGGCAACCCTGGTGGGCTGTTCTGCAAGGTGGGCTCTCTCTGCAGTTCTTTCTGTCCCCACCCTGGCGGGGGTCGGACAGGAAGGGCGCAGGGTTGACCCGGGTCCCGTGTCACACCCCAGCCACTTCCACCTGGATCACTGCGGAGCGCTGCCCTACTTTAGTGAGATGGTCGGCTATGACGGGCCCATCTATATGACCCACCCCACCCAGGCCATCTGCCCCATCCTGCTGGAGGACTACCGCAAGATCGCTGTGGACAAGAAGGGCGAGGCCAACTTCTTCACCTCTCAGATGATCAAGGACTGCATGAAGAAGGTGGTGGCCGTCCACCTGCACCAGACCGTCCAGGTCCTGGCCCATGGGGCTGTGGGGCATGCACTGGGTCCTGGCCCAGTTCGGTTTCAGCCTGGGGTGTTGGCTGTGTGTCCCTGGCTCTGCACAGGCCCAAGGGTCCAGGGTCACCTTTGTGTATCTGAGCCCATGGGGAGCCGCGGGAGACCTCAGTTTAGTGGGCGTTTGGGCCGTGGTGTGTGACGTGCAACCACGTGCAAACTGTTGTTTGCTGGTCTGGGGCCTGGCCTGTGGTCCCTGGGTGGCACTGAGGGCCTGTCTGGCCTTTGATCCAATGAAACCCAATACCTGTGCACCCTGCCCGTGGCCTCCTCGTGGCTGCTGCCCACCACTGTGGTGCCCGGACTCCATGTCTAAGAACTCGGTGGGGGGGTGCTCAGAGCAAGTGGGATCTTGTTGGTGAGTTCACTGCTTAGAAGGCCGCAGCAGCCAGGGCTGGAGGCTGGGCCTCGATGCTGAGCTGTAGCTGCCCCCAGGTACACGTCACAGAAGGCCGGGGTTGCGGCTGCCTAGGCCCGAGTGGAGCGGGAGCCCCGGCTTCTCAGGGCTACCTGCTCTGAGGCAAAGCTGGGGTCTGTGCAGAAACAGAAGCTCACAGCCCCCTCTCCTGTGCCCAGGTGGATGACGAGCTGGAGATCAAGGCCTACTACGCTGGCCACGTGCTGGGAGCAGCCATGTTCCAGATCAAAGTGGGCTCAGAGTCCGTGGTCTACACGGT